CTGAAATGAACTTATAGTAAAGAGTAACACATGCACACACACACACACACACACCCACAACTTTTTTTTTTGTAATATATATTATAAAAATGTTAAATTGTATATATGTATATAACCATCAAAATCAAAATGGAATATTTCAAAATTTTGGAGACAGAGTATTTTGATGAATCCAAACCATTTTTAAAACATTTTTGCTTCCCAAAAATTTCTCATCCCCATTCAGAAGAAGAAAAATATTTAAAATCTCAAATATTCTCATGGAATAGGAAAACAGTTTTCCACCAAATTCTTGATTTTAAGTAAAATTAGTACTTTGATCAACAGCCCCAGATAGCCAAGCCTGTGAAGCAGCAAATCAGACAGCAGGTGAAGCACTCTCTACAACATGCGGCCATCAATATGCCGCAGTTTTGCTTGAGGGCTAAGAGAGTGTATGCCATTCTCTTTTCCCAGTAAATAATGGTCTCCAACTTAGGAATGCCTACAAACATTTCTGTTGGTGACAAATGGCAATTTTTTATGGGAGTCCAAGAACACATTTCAGTCCTAGATTTTAAATTAAAGACTGGGGGGTGGGGTTAATGCAGTTGCCAACAATAGTGAGACATATGAACATTTTGGGAGATATTTCTGATTTTTTATTTTCAGGGAAGGGATTCTTTTTAACTAGATTTGTCAACACATCTGACTGTCATGCATATACTGACTTTCTAAATCATGGTCTGTTTAATATTAGTTGGACTGGTGAATATGAACAAGTTACCCTGCAGTGAATCTTGTCCTGAAGTAAAAAGCACTGTACCACATACAGCAACCTCTTGTCTCAGCATGAAGCAGGAATGAAGCCAATAATGTTATTCTTGTTCCATTTTTCCAAGAATAATTTTCTCTCAAATACCTTTGGAGCAGTGCTCACATGCATGTCTCTGAACTGAAATGTTTTGGTGGTCCACCAGCTACTTTCCCATACAGCTTTGCACTCTGTCACCCAAGGGTCCTCTCTGCTTACAGTGTGGCCTCTTCCACCACAGGGTCACAGAGACATGTGGCCACCCCTTGTCTGAATGCTGGCACATGGTCACGTCCTTCCTCTCTGAGTGTAGACCTTCCAGAGATCAGCACCTTGGGAGCTCACCCGTGTTTTATCCCAGTTAACCCTTTGCCCTGGCTGCTTGCTGTTCTTCCCACTGGACCCGTGACAAAGTCCTGGACCTTCTCACACTGTGGAGTGAGGCAAAGATGCAGTAAGTTTTTGGTAGTGGTGACCACAAACAGTAGGCTTGCAAAGCTATCACCAAGGAGATGGCAGTGGGACACCATTCAGTGCTACATCAAGCCTGAAGACTTGAAGTCAGGGTTAGAAACTACACCTTCACGAGTGCTAAAGCCACCTGTCCATCCTATACAAGGAGTTGGAATCAATTTTGTCAGAGGATGTCAGCAACAAGTGCCAGCCTGTGTCAGTAGCAGGCAATGGACTAGATGACACAGAGGATCAGGATAGAGAATGTGAGTAACAAGCAACTAGGAGACATTTGTCTCTCAGGAGCCCCACTGACATACCACACAACTGGACCCAGACATGCCATCCCTGAGCCAGTAGCCAGCCAGCCAGCAGGCTGTACAACACAGTACATGCAGCAATACTGTAGAAGCCAACATCAGCCTTGACAAGAAGAGCAATCATGCTTGCATTTATTTGCATTAGCTGTAAGTGCATGCTGAGGTATACAGCTGGTATTTGTGTATGGGTTGTTTTTTTTTTAAATCACTAGCACTGGGCATTAGGGTGGATGTGAGTGAATATCCCTTCTGAGTTCTGCTTGTCTTTCTCTCCACCTACTCAAAATGGTGACTGCTGACTGTGGGTGATAAAACTGCCCCTTCCCCAGAACCCCCTGATCAAGCCAATGAATTACCCACTATCACCATGTTGTGTTGCAAGCACTGGAGCCTGAACTAGCTGCCAACCTTATTCATATTGTAGTGTCCTCCTTACCCTGACATCTCCTCAGCTGCATGCACCAAATTCAAACAAGCATTTCAAAAATACATCCTCACAATAGATAGGTGCTTATTTCATGATGAGGCTCAGAATCATAGAAAATGAGGGTTGGAAGGGACCTCAGGAGGTCATCTAGTCCAACCCCCTACTGAAAGCAAGACCATCCCCAACTAGATCATTCCAGCCAGGCAACTAGATCATTCCAGGCTTGTCTAGTTGTACAACAAAGTATATACTGTGTTTTGACTCAGGGCAGTATTCATATGAGAATTTAGTGCAATGCAAGAATCTTGTGTACTGAAAAACCCTATAGTGATTATTTATGTAAAAGTTTATCAATATGCTTAGAAACTCCTTAAGAAAAATAACTGCATCAGGCTTGTATCTGAAAGCCCTAATCAGTGTGCTTTGATAATTTAGTTAAGTAGGTAGTAGGGCTCTGCAAAATGGCACCGTTCCATTTCAACCTGCGTTTCAACATTTCAATGGGACAGTGTTTCATTTTGAATTTTGTTTCAATTGAAACCGCTGTTCCATTTCATTTCATCAAAACAGTTTTGCTGTTATGATGTTTTGCCCATAGGCTATAATGGGAAAGCTCAAAACAGCCTATAACTTTGTCATTTCTGGCCTGATTTGGATGAAAACTGCAGGAATGGTAGCCCCTTCTGAGGGCATGAAACCTGCCAAATATCAAGGATAGGTGCAGGGGCTTGGGGAAAACTGCACCTCAAGCTGCAGACAAGCAAAACTCATGACATAGGTGACACTGTGTGTGTTAAGGCACAGCAGGGTGAAAGCTGCAGGGATGCTAGCCCCTGCTGAGGACACAAAGCCTACCAGCTGTCAAGGAGATCGGTATAGGGGTTTCTGGGTTCTGGGTCTCTGCACCTCTGGCTGCTGACAGGCAAAACTTGTGACATGGGTGGGTGACACTGAGTGTGTGTTAAGGTGCGCCCTCACTCAACTGACACCAAGGCAGAAAGCAGGGCAGTTCAAACAATGCTGCCTTTTATACAGTTTTTCCATCCCTCCTCCAGAGCACTGGGGTTGGAAGGGACCTCAGGGAAGGATGACAGTCACTGGCCAGCTACAATCAATAATGAGAGCACTCCTTCCTCCCTCCTTCCCCGCTCTTCCCCCTCCCTCTCCTTACTTTAGTTTCTGTTTCCCTGCAGGCAAGCCCAGTTTGAGCTTCAAAACTCAAAACGTTTCGAAAATTTTGAAATGCTTTGACTTGCCTCATTTCATTTCAAGGCTGTTTCGAAACTCTCTGTTTCATTTCAATTTTGCTGTTTCAAGCTCAAAATGAGTTGAAACAGCATCAAAATGAAACTGCCAGAGAAACTACGCACAGCCCTCATAGGTAGATAGTTTTACACTGAGCTGCCTGCCAGCATTATCCACAGCACTAGCAGACAAATTCAAAAGCATAAATTATAAATGGCAAATACTATTAACCCCTCTATACGTCTCTTACTCACTGTAAAATGGCACTGATGGAACAGTGAACTTTGAGCGAGTCACAGGGAATATGGAAACAGAATTTCAGACACAGAAAAATGTGCTAGTAGGTCTCTAACATAATAGGGCAGGCTGCTTACCCCAGCACCCAAATAAATGGATCTGTCTTTCCAGTCATGCCATATCTGGAGGTATCATCCTGGTGAAGAACAGCAATGCATGTATAACATGATTCATTTTTGCTATTGCAAATAGGTATTTCTATAACAGAGAGTAGTGATGCACCTTCCAATGTTAGGCCTGCTCATGGAAGTACCAGTACAACTATCAACCTTCCCTCAGAAAGACCTCCTCTGCCTTCTCCCACATACACCCACCTCCCTAGTTTTGTCCTGGCAAACAGGGTGGCCATTCATCTGGTTTTATAGAGGACAGTCTGATTTTCTGGTCCACTGTCCTCTATTGATATGAAACTGGACACGTTTATGTCCTCTATTTTTCACTGCTTGGCACTCTTCCCCCCCCCATCACCAACATTGCCATGGCCACCTGTGGGAGCTCCCCGCTTGGTCCACCCCCACCGCCAACACCACCACGGCTGCCTGCAGGAGCTCCCTGCTCGCTGCCATGGCCACACTCCAACACTGCCACTGCCGCCTGTTGGAGCTCACTGTGCCCCCCAGCCTCAAGAGGCACATGACATTCATGGTGGTGGGGACAGTTGCACTAAATACAACTGTCCTCTATTCTTGAGGTACCTTGATGGCCACCCTATAAACCAGGGACGGGCAATTATTTTGGGTGGAGGGCTGCTTACTGAGTTTTGGCAAGCCATCAAGGTCCACGTGCAAGGCAGCCAGGGGCAGATAAATATGAATTTTCTAAATTTTTAGGGGCCCCCCGGGCCACATAGAACGGCCTGACGGGCCACATGTGGCCCGCAGGCCGCATTTTGCCCACCCCTGCTATAAACAGTATTAATTTACCCACCCCTGCTATAAACAGTATTAGCACCATGCAGCCCCCTCAGCGTTACCTCAAGCACAGCACAGCAGCAATTTTTTTGTGTACCTGCTTTTATCCTGCCTGGGAGGTTTAGTCCATTTGCAGGCCAGTAAGCAGAGAGGGAAGTTTGAAGAAGAGGAGCTTCAAATCATCTCCAGGGCTCCCAAAACTGTGGAAAACCTCTGAAGGCAGCATCTCAAGCCTGGGGAGCTAAAAAAGCCTTTGTCTTCAAAGCAAGGGAAATCAAACAATGAACAATAACAGCCTTCGAGGGTCTGCATCTGCAAGTTCTAGACCCTGCAAGACCTTGCATTAACTACTGTACAATGACTGGCATAAACATGAGGATGCAGGGGAAAGAACAATAGAGAAGATGTACTTGGAGGCTATTGAGGTATTAGTGGAGCATGAGGAGGAGAAATGGAGGGAACTCTGAAACAGAAGACAAAGGGCATTTCTGTCATGACAGAAGCTGATGGAGAAACGGTTTGGTTTGACCTGGGAAATGGTTGTAACAGAGAGGCCAATACAAATGGACGTGGAATATATGATAGCTAATGGACATAATGGACAGATTAATGGCACTGCTGAAGTATTTATAAAGATTCCACTCACTTTCCACATTGCCCCCCATTGTCAGCAGGTTTGCTAGCATTAGTCTTGTGACATCAGGAGAGTTCACTAGGAGTCTACTGAGAGCTCCCCGGCGGGGCTGCCCAGCCCACCAGGGAGAATGGCTCAGAACAGGAACCCAACTCCTCCAGTCCACAAGCCACACAAAAGCCTGCTGCTACACAGCACCATCAACTCCTAGGGCACTGGGCCAGCCAAGGTTAAGTCTGGTTTTGTTTACTTCAAAGGCAGTATTATTTTCTCCCATCATCCGGACCATCTATGGAATTCACCACAACACTGCCCAGCATGGCCAGGCAGTTATATGGACCATGATGTTTAAGATAAGGGTAAAATATCTAAAAGCCATGAAGGCACAGAACACATGCAAAGCAACCCCTGCCTATGGTCATTAATCACCAGCTAGAGGCTCACAGTGGTTACAATTCAGGCTATTACAGAAAGTCCCCAGTGGCTAATGAGCAATAAGCTCAACAAGAGGTCCAGGTGTTTCCTTACCCCATGTGCTGAATACTGAATTTGACAGGAGAATCTAGCCCATCATGGCTTGCATGGGAGGAACTTAGTTAGGTGGATTTGCCTGGAATACTAAAGCCTGATCAGAGTCTGTGGCCACTTTTATAATATAAATAACTATAGAAAATGACATACCAAAATACGTTGAAAATACTATTCTGAGTTTTGAAGTCAACTCTTGAGATCTAGAAAATATTCCACCTTCTTCTGCATTCAACCTGTACATGCACATGGAAAGGCTGCTTGGGAAAATTCAGTATGCAATCCAGTAATTAAAGATAGATGGGGTATGGGAGATGAGGCAGCCCTTGCTTCATGTGGTATCCCTAGAACAGTAGCTTTCACTATGTCAAAGGGGTCTATGAAAGTTGACTATGATAACTCAGAAGTATATGGATACCCACACTTACAATTCAAAGGGGTCCGCACTGCCATTTGAAATTTCCAAAGGGGTCCACACTTCCATTTTAAATTTTTAAGGGGTTCACAAATGAAAAAAAGGTTAAAAACCAGTGCCCTAGAAGGAATTTTAGGTTATTGAGACCAGATGCTAGGTCCAGCAGCTTGTTCTGGCTCTTGTCTTGACTGTTAAGGAGAAATTCTGCAGTATAGGATACTAAGGCTATGGGCTAGGCCAGGGAATGAATATGCAGTGTTGAGGTAAGCCTAGCCAGGATCTTCCCCCTCTGCCCCATAGCTGGTCTTGTAGCTCCCACAAATCCCTAGTGCAGTGGAATCTGCTGTTGCTATGGGATAGTTAGTCCTGGGTCTTTGGAAATGATCAGTGATTTTGGCAGACTGCCAGCATTTTGAGGAAAGAATGAGAAAAAAGGGAGATGACTTTTGACATTTTATGGGTCAGCTAATCGGAATAAAATTTCATGGGGGAAACATTCAAGACAAAAAAACAGAGAGAGACTGCTGTTGCCCAAAAGGGACCCCCCTCCCTCTGCCTGCAATCTGAATATCAAGGACTACCTCCAAAACATGGAGTTTCTACAATTTATGAAAGATAAAGTACCAAGGAACCTTTATAACAGAAGGCACCAAGTTACTTAAGTATATAGAGTTTTTTCTACCAGATCTCTCTGTACATGAATAATAGCAAGCGGCAATGTGCAAGAATGTATACTTTGATAGTCTACAGTAATTGTCCCAAATACTGTACGTTACAAGTATGTTACAAGAGCAATCTAAAACAGAGTGTGAGGCTTTACTGCAGAAAGGTTTGTCTTATAAGCTTACCTTAGCCTCTTCAGAGGCTGCTGATTTTGGGAGCTGTGGACTGCCCTGAACTCCCAGGTGTCACAAAACACCTTTTCAGATCTAAGAGCATCAGCAAACTGGGGTGAAGAACTTGGGCAACATTTTGTTCGAGTTGTATTGGTATAAAATAAATAGTGAGGCACTGGAATTTTTCCAAGTAATTAGGTGAGATTTGGGTCCTATGCCATTTTTTGTGCTTTATATAAGCACCAAAGCACATGTTTGTCACTTAACAAATAATCCATAAGCATAGCCCTGCTCCCCTTGTTACTTTTCCAGGATGCTGAAAGCACAGTCTGTTTGCTACAATACCCTTATATTCCTATAGTAATGCTCTCTTCTTCTCTCCCCCTCTGCCCCTTAGGTACATGGTTGTCATCTCACATGATTTCCAGAAAACAAACCTTAGCATTCAACAGTTTTTAACATTCGTTTGCTTTAACCCACTTGTTCACACAGTCCACCAGCTATGCGGTACAGCCGAGGCACAAATGGCTTAGCTAGTAACTTACGTCAGAGCTATGCAACCCGCTCAGTCGCTCTGCTTGGTGCAGGGGTAAGCGCTTCCTTGAGGTCGGGGAGTCGTCACGGAAACGGTGCAAACATTCCAGGTTCCACCCTCTCTTCCTCTTGCTGCTGTGAGGCAACAATGCCAGCCTGCTGCTGGGACAACCTCACACACACAAAGGTACTAGCAAGTTTCTTTCCTGCCAACCATGAGGTCAACCAGAGTCTCAAATTGCACAGCAAAAGCAGGTGCTTGTAATGCAGAAGCTGGTGCTCTGATTTGTCAGATGGCTCTTTTTAAATCAGAGAAAAAGTAACCAAACTCTCCAGAAGCTGTTCTAAATGCCCGTATAAATCATGGGACTGGAAGGGACCAGAAGAGTCGTTAAATCCTATTAAAGGTAACCATCTAGTACAATCCAGTGCATGGATTTATCAAACTGCATCTTAAAGGTAGATTAGTTGTTTGCCCCACTGCTCCACCTGGAAGCCTATTCCAAGCACCCTCCTTGCCCTAATGGTTAGAAACCTTCTAATTTGCAGTCCTTGTTTAGTCTTGGCCCCATTACACTCATTTGTCTTTTGTGCCAACAACATCCTTGCTTAAATAGCTTTTCTCGTTCCCTGCAGTTTATCCCTTCATGTATTTACGGAGAGAAATCCTATTCCCTCTCAGCCTTTGTTTAGCTACACTGAACAAGCCAAGTTCTTCTAGTCTCCTCTTATAAGACAGGCTCTCCATTCCCTTGATCATCATCACAGCCTTTTTTCTGCACCTGTTCCAGCTTAAATTAATCTTTGTTCAGCATGGGTAGCCTGAACAGCACACAGCATTCCATGTCAGGTCTCACCAGGGCCTTGTACAGTAGTATTAATACTTCCCTAACTTTACTGCAAACACCTTGCCTGACAGCTGCTAGAATCACATTTGCCTTGTTTCATGACTATGCACACTGGTGCATAGTCATCCTAGCTTTAATCTCTGTCCCATCCTCACTGCCCAGTAGCATCATTTCTTCTTTTGTTACTCTCTTTGGGTGCATCCTCATGAGTGGGAATGTGAGTTTTCCCGGGAACAAACAGCAGCAGCATGTTGCCCCAGGTGGGGTAGAGGAGGCTAAGGCCAGCATCTGGGCTGGGCCCAGCAGCCTTACATGAGGCCCTGGGGGCCTCCAGCGGCTGCAGCTGTGGCATAGGGAAAAACTAGGAATAACTGGGAAAACTAGGGGTAATGGTCACAATAGGAGAAAACTGGGAGTAATGGTCACAAACTCCTGGAAGACTGTTTCAGGCTCAGCATTAGGAAAAACTACATCACAACTAGGGTGTCCAAACTGGAATAAGCTCTCTCCAGAGGTGGTGCAATTGCCTACCCTGGAAATCTTCAAGAGGAGACTGGATGGTCACCTTGCTGAGTTGCCTGATCCCAGTTGTCTTTGTTTCTTTGTGCAGGGGGGGCTGGACCCAATGATCTTCCAAGGTCCCTTCCAGCCCTTTACAATCTATGAATCTATTAATACTGCCGCAAGAAGCCTGGCCAGCAACTGAAGTGTGGCTCTGGCTGGCCAGGCTCCAGTTTTAAGCAACATATGTTGCTGCCACATGCACCACCCGGCTTTTCTTAGGTATGGGCTTTTTTGACACTGGGATTTCCAAGTGCCTAAATCCCTCCCCACCTCCTCCACCCACCTTGCTGCAAATTAGCAGTGCAAGGAATGCCTGCATATTCAGTGTGAGCAGTGTGCGGTGCCGCAGGTGGGGCTGCAGTGCCGCATACCGCACAATACACACTTGTCTGGCTGTGCCCTTCGTGTTTATTTAACTAAAGAACTTTTCTTTTTGTTTTAATTTCTTTTCCAAGATCTAATTCAGCTTGACTCTTGGCAATACTAACCCTACCTAGCACATTCTGACCTTCAAGATGTACCTTTCCTTTTCCCTGGAACTCTAAGCCAGTCCTTCACATTTTACACTGACTGCAGCTAACACCATCAGCAAAGATGACAACCTAGTTCCCTCTACTGCTAGCATTCAATATCTGCAAACAGCTTATGACCCAGACTAAAATAATTTCTCCCTCATGCTCCCTTTAAATAATTTAAGCTTTTCAGGGCAAAGACCGTTGCTCATTTTCAAGTCTGAAACAGCACCAAGGACATCATAAATATTAATTAGATAATAATTTGATGCTCATTCAATAATGGGTTGAGCCAGATGCTGTTTGGGCAAGTACACCACAAGCATATGAGTAATATGATTCAATGATGGTACAATGCTGGTTCATTTTTAGTCCAATGATAAGATGTGTCAGTAATTTGCTGCTAACATAATGGGGTTTTACATATGCAGATTTGTGGAACAGTGTGAAGACATCAGTCCCTTGGTATTACACAGCACTCTTCCTGCTTAAAGATTTTCCAAAATATATTTGAAGACATGGTATCAATCCAATCAAGGCAGTGGTAATAGTTAACTGGTAGAAAAGTAGCACTTAGTACTGATCATCTTTCAAACACTGCACAAGTCACACAATGATGATAACGCATTAATTTTAACAAATACTTTTGAAAGGCACAAAACCAATAAATTATGAATCCCAGGAGCACTACAAAGAGAAGCTGAAAATGCGGCAGCTTGCCAACAAATTTTACAAGAGACTAGTATGGACAGGGCAAAGAACTAAGATTTGGCTGTGTCCTGTGAAGTTCAGTGCCCAGAGGCTTGCAGAATCAAGTCCAATAGTTGATGAAGGAGTTGAAACTTAGAGTGAAACCCTGGCCCCTTTGAACTCAAAAGGAAAAAACTCCCACTGAGTCCAATAGGGCTGGAGTTTCATTCTAAAAGTTTAAGAAGGTATTTGACAGTCCGTGGACAGAAGTATAGGTTATGCAGCAGAAAAGAATCTATAGGTGGAGTTTATTACATCAAAGATGGGGGGGAATGGGGGTTGGGAAAAAGAGACAGAATATATGCATTTAAGAGGAGGCAAAACAAGGAAAAGGATATTCTGGGACATTCTCATTTCAGATTGACTATCAAAAGGAACTACATTAGGCAGGGAATGCTAAGAAACAAAATAAATCAGCAGCATGCAAGTCAAATCAAGTCAAGTCCTGAGGCTGCTGCAACCATTGGGGCACCTTAGATGCTGTAACAACCCTCCCCCACTCCGCCCCGTTTTCATCAAAAGCATTGACTTAGTATTTTGACCATCATATGAAGCTGGATCAATGACTAGTAAGCTAATGAAGTAGTAAGAGGACAAGAGAAATAAGTAGACTAGCAGAGGTAAGGATAACAAAAACTCTCCTTGCATCTAGGACATAAAGCAAGACCTGCTTGTTCACTGATGGTGTCACATAACAGCAATAGTAAATAGAAAATCCCAGCTTGTCCTTGGCAAAGGCAAGAAAGAAGGAAATGAAGGGACACCTACACTACTAGCTCTACACTTCTCTCACGACTGTCATCAAAAAATTAGACCCACCCACTCATTCCTGCTTCACATCCTCCAGACCTGGAACTGAGCCAATAAGGATACCTTGGGCAGGCTCCACTCTACCCCCACTACTACTTTTGAGATCTGTGTCTGAAAACTTGGGCACAGCAGCATGGAGGTGGGGAGGTGGGCACCTCATCATCTCAGTCCCAGGATTGGAGTGGGTGGGGCTTAAGTGGTTATATGTTAATTCTCTGGTCATGCCTAATGTGAATTACTTTTTGAGCAGCCTGAGCAGTCAGTGCGGTTGGACTTCTCCCACGCAGTTAATATCCAGTGATCTGCCTCCTCCTCCTGACAAACCGAATGACCGAGTGCTTGCTGAGCATTACACACATTACCAATCTTTTCTTATACCTCAGAGAGCAGACATATGGACATTCTGGTTGCCAACACTGGTTCTGCAGATTGGCACAAAGCAATCCAGATTCCTTTTCCAAAGAATCAGTGTTATGCATGGGATCCATAAGGCATTTGGATCTAGTAATAGCTTGGAATAAACCTGAAACCTTCCATTTGTGCCCAGAATTTATGGTTCCCAACTGGCACTGCTGTGCATGGCCACAAAGCCAGCTAAATCAATATAATCTTTTTATACTGATTATATCAGTTTTATCATACACGCATACACACACACATATTAGAAAGACCTAGACACAGACAAACGTCTAAACCTCCAATATCTCTCAGCTGAGTTTTTATTCTTCAAATTATGTCTATGTAATGGATAAAGTAGCTCCAGTGGTCCTTTTAGAATTCATGTTAGTACTGCAAGACTTTTGTTTTCACTGAGCAATACATGGAGCTGCCAAGAAACTAGATCCACTGTCACATATTTTATGGATATTATCATTCAAAAAAATGTTCACAATGCACATTTCTAATGGCTAGAGGTCATAATCTTAAAACAGACTTAGGTTAAATTTATAGTCCAACCTACCTTTGTGTCACTGAATAATAGCATTTGAAATCAGGGCAAAACTCACTGCAGCATGGAGGGTGTATAAAAGGCCTTACTCACGGAAGGTCAAATTCAGGGGCCCAGACACCAGCCCAAATAGCAGGCTACTTCTATGGGGTAGAGGAGAGGTATGAAGCCTTCCTCTGAGCT